CACCATTCTGGCTTTTTTCTTTTTGCTTATGTGGTGCTGAGGAATTGAACCCAGGGCCTCATGCATGCAAGGCAAGCGCTCTACCACTGAGCTACCTTCCCTGCCCAATCTGTTCTTTTCTTTATAGTTCTGAACCACATAGTACATCAACCTGAGTCACCAGACAGCCTAGTTTGGTTATAGATAGAGGCAGCCCATGCTGTTCTCAACAGTGTAGGCCCTCACTTTTCACTACCAGGGATCAGTCAGCAAAGGCCTTTTTACTAGAATGTTTGAAGGTGGTCACCTTGATCTAGGGCATTCAAACAAAGGTGTTTCTCAAAAATAAAACAAAATAGGATTTGAATATAAGTCTTTTATTACTAAGTCATGTATCTGTTGAACACTTCCTACCTACTGGCTGTCATACAGCAAGCTTTAAAGTCAATCTTAGTCTTTATTGTCTTAACCTATTTAGAAATTTTAGTAATTTCTTTGCATTGCCATCAAAGTAAGTGGTTTCTTTGCATTGCCATCAAGGTAAAACCTTAAAAATTCTTTGGATTGGTCTGGGAATGTGGCTCAGTGGTAGAGTTCTTGCATAGAGAGGTTAGAGTATATTTATAAAGTATTGTTGCTTCTAGGTTTCTGTAAGTAGTATTTGGTATTAAATATGATCTTTGTGTATATGTGTTCCACTACTCAGGGTAGGCCTTATTTCTGTTCCTGGATATTCTTAACACCTCATGATATTTTCACATAAAGTTAAGTGGCTCAGAGTTGCTGAAATGAACATAGGAAAGAGAAAAAGGTGTGATGTTATATTCTCTCATAGTTTAAATGATCTTTTCAAAACAGTCTCATTAGCTAAATACCAGTGGCTCCCACCTGTAATCCTAGCTACTTGGCAGGCTGAGATCTGAGGATTATAGTTAAAAGCCAGACAAGTTAGAAAATTCCATGAGACTTTATCTGCAGTTAGCCAGAAAAAAGCTGAACTAGCAACATGGCCCAAGTGGTCGAGCACCTAGCCATGAGTGAAAAAGCTGAGCAAGAGCTCAAGCCCTGGTAACAGCATCAAAAAAAAAGATCTCATTGAACTGCATCATATACATGTAGATAATTACTCTTGTTTCAGGTTCCAGTGTGATTCAGAAGGGCAGTTCTGTGGGGACTGAATGGCAGACCCCAGTTATCTCAGAAGCCTTTCGGAGCCGCTTCAGCCGCTGTTCAAGTATAGCTGACAGTGGGGACACAGCCATTGGGACATCATGCTCAGATATTGCAGAAGGTAAGTTTGGATTAATGATTTGATTACCAATATGTTTTTGTTTTTGGATTGAATTCTAAGTGTGTTGTCATTTACAGAACATACTTAAGGTCAGTCTGTTCACTCATGGAGTCTGATTCTTCTCACTGCATTCTTTTTCATTTCTGGTTCTTCTATTTATCCTACCTGAAATGGCTTTCTTTCTTTTTTTTGGTCGGTTATGGGGCTTGAACTCTGGGCTTGGGCGCTCTCCCTGCACTCTACAGTTCAAGGAGAGCACTCTACTGCTTGAGCCACAACTCCACTTCCAGTGGTTTATTGGAGATAAGAGTGTTACGGACTTTCCTGCCTAGGCTGGCTTTGAACTGTGATCCTCAGATCTCAGCCTCCTGAGTAGCTAGGATTACAAGTGTGAGCCCCCAGACCCCAGCTTTCTTTTCTTTTCTTTTCTTTTCTTGTAAAGGTGAGATATAGAGGGGTTATAGTTACATAAGTCAGGTAGTGGCTTTCTGATAGACTGCTTGGCCTAAAGTATTTCCTTCTACCAAATTAATCCTGCCTGTTCAATATTCCCTATCTTACAAATTCTCAGTTTTAGTCTTTTTTTTTTGCCAGTCCTGGGGCTTGAACTCTGGGCCTAGGCGCTGTCTGTGAGCTTCTTTTGCTGAAGGCTAGCACTCTACCACTTGAGCCACAGTGCCACTTATGGCTTTGTCTGTGTATATAGTACTGAGGAATTGAACCTTGGGCTTCATGCTAGGCAAGCACTCTAGGACTAAACCACATTCCCAGCCCTTTCCTCTTGGAAGATAACTTTCAGAGGTTTTAGCTCCTTTTTTTTTTGGCCAGTCCTGGGACTTGAACTCTCCCTGAGCTTTTTTGCTCAAAGCTAGCACTCTACCATTTACCATTTGCGCCTCAGCTCCATTCCTTTTTTTCTTGATGATTTGTTGGAAGTAAGAGTCTCATGGGTTTTCTTGGCCAGGTTTTGAATTGCAGTTCTCAGACCTCAACCTCCTGAATAGCTAGGATTTCCCATGTGAGCCACTTGCACCATGGTCTTCTACTTGTTTTTACACTTAAGTACTAAATGTCAGGTCATACTTCACCAGGATATTTTGTACTTAGAGAGCAGTGGATCTGATTATATTAGTTATTGCTTATTGTGTTCTTTCAGTTTTTCTGTGTTACATCATTAACACTCTTCATGAAATATTATTTTCATGTTACAGTCACAAAAGCGAATCACTTTGGCACTTTTATCAGGTGTCATTTAAAAGCATATACTCCATAGCAATTAGAATGAGTGTAATTAAAAATAACAATTCATAGCTGGGGGCCGGTGGCTCACACTTGTAATCCTAGTTACACAGGTGGCTAAGATCTGAGAATCTTGGTACAAAGCTGCTGGCCCACACGACCTTCCCCCCCCTGGTCCCTCCATGCAGGAAAGTCCATTAGACTCTTATTAAACCACCAGAAAACAAAGTAGCAGTGAGCAGAAGATCTCAGGGACAGTGTTCAAGCCTCATGGTGGACAAAAAAAATCTTGGTGAGAATTTAGAGACACTAGAACCTTTATATATATTTTAATAAGATATTAAAATGTAGTTACTTTGGAAAAATTTGGCAGTTCCTGAAAAAGGTTAAATTGAAGATACTTTGTAAATCAATAATTATACTCTCTTTTTTTTTTTTTTTTGCCACTTATGGGGCTTGAACTCTGAGCCTGGGTGCTGTCCCTGAGCTCTTCAGATCAAGGCTTGCACTCTACCACTTGAGCCGTAGTGCCACTTCTGGTTCTGTGGTGGGTCATTGGAGATAAGAGTCTCATGGACTTTTCTGCTCAGGCTGGCTTTGAACCATGATCCTCAGAACTCAGTCTCCTGAGTAGCTAGGATTATAGGTGTGAGCCACTGGCGCCCTGCTAATAATTTTATGGGGTTTTTTTTGCATTAACATTTTTTTATTGTGAAAATACCATACAGAGGGGTTACAGTTACATGAGCAAGGTAATGAGTACATTTCTTACCTAGCATTGTTGCCTCCTCCTTTGTTTCCCTTTACTATTATTACTTCCCATCTCCACACCCTTCTTCCCCACCAATAATTATACTCCTAAAGAAGGGTAAACATCACTGGGCACCCAGGCCCAGAGTTTAAGCTCCATGACCAGGAAAAAGAAAGAGAGAGAGAAAGAGAAAAAAGAAAAGAAAGGAAAACATCAACACAAATGATTGTACATGAATGTTCATAGCAGCCTTAGGTTGAAACAATCTAAATGTTTACAACTGATGCTTTGGCAGTAAAATAAGTCAGATATTAAAACATGCTTTCAATTGGATGACAATTAAAAATATCTTTTTTTTGGGGGGCCTGGGCGCTGTGTTGTCCCTCAGCTCTTCAGCTCAAGGCTAGCGTTCTACCACTTGAGCCACAGCGCCACTTCCGGCTTTTTTCTTTTTTGCTTATGTGGTGCTGAGGAATCGAACCCAGGGCTTTGAGCATGCAAGGCAAGCGCTCTACCACTGAGCCACCTTCCTAGCCCTAAAAATATCTTTTTTTTTTTTTGTCGGTCGCGGGGCTTGAACTCTGGGCCTGGGTGCTGTCCCTCAGCTCTTCAGCTCAAGGCGAGCGCTCTACCACTTGAGCTACAGCACCACTTCCAGTTTTCTGGTGGTTTATTGGCGATAGGAGTCTCATAGTCTCTCCTGCCTGGGCTGGCTTTGAACCGTGATCCTCAGATCTCAGCCTCCTGAGTAGCTAGGATTACAGGCATGAGCCACCAGCACCCGGCTTCCTAAAATATCTTAAAAAGTCTTAAAAATATTGTGTTAGGTAAAAAAGAAAAAGCCAGACAAAAGGATACATACTACATAGCTATTTACACTTCTAATATAACTAGAATGACAAATGCATGCCATTACACTCTGCTTTTTATTAATTGAGATCGGAGTCTCATAAACTTTTTGTCCAGGCTGGCCTTGAACCTTGATCTTTCTGATCTCAGTGTCTTGAGTAGTTAGAATTACAGGCTTGAGTTACTATGCCCAGCTATCCGTGTTCTTAAGTAGCTGCTTAGTAAGAGGATGGTAAACACTCTATACTTATATAATTCCAGAAAAGGCTTCTGTTTTCATTGAGTGGGCTCTGTCTGAGGTGGTAGGGAGAAAAAAGATAAATTTGTAATACCCCTTCCTGTGGTCAGTGTGCTTGATTTGGAAAAGTGCTAGGCATAATTGAAAAGAAAGGACTCAGGACATTTTTTTTTTGGGGGGGGGTGGTCAATCATGGGGCTTCTACCTGGGCCTAGGTACTGTCCCTGAGCTCTTTTGCTCAATGCTAGCACTTTACCACTTAGAGCCACAGTGCCACTTCCGGTTTTCTGGTGGTTAATTAGAGATCGGGGTCTTGGACTTTCCTCCCTGGGTTGGCTTTGAACCATGATTCTGAGATATCAGTCTCCTGAGTTGCCTAGGATTACAGGTATGAGCCACAGGTGCCAGGCATACTTATTTATTTATTTATTTTTGCCTGTTAAAAATAATAGGTAGGCCAGGTGCTGGGGTTCATGCCTATAATCCTAGCTATTCAGGAGGCTGAAACCTAAGGATCATGGTTTGAAGACAGCCCAGGCAGAAAAGTCCCTGTGAGACTCCTATCTTCAATTAACCACTTAAAAATCAGAAATGATGCTGTGGCTCAGATGGTAGTGCACTAGCCTTGAGCAGAAAGAGGCTCAGTGACAGTGCCCAGGCCCTGATTTCAAGCCCTACAACCAACAACAATAACCAAAAATAGGAGTCAGGGAAGGGGTGACATTGTCCAAAAATGTACTCTATACCTGACTTATATAACTGTAACCCCTTTGTATACATTATCTTTGTAATAACAATAAGAAAACTAAAACTAAAAAAAAAAAATTAGGGGCTGGGAAGGTGGCTCAGTGGTAGAGCACTTGCCTTGCATGCATGAGGCCCTGGGTTTGATTCCTCAGCACCACATAAGCAAAAAGAAAAAAGCTCAAGTGGTAGAGCGTTAGCCTTGAGCTGAAGAGCTGAGGGACAGCGTCCAGGTCCAGAGTTCAGACCCACAACTGGACTAAAAAAAAAAAAAAGCTAGCCAGGCACTGGTGGCTCATGCTTGTAAGCTACTCAGGAGGCTGAGATCCGAGGAAAGTCCCTAAGACTCTTACTTTTCAGTTAACCAGCAAAAAAGCCAGAAATGGAGCCATAGCTTATGTGGTCGAGTGTTAGCCTTCAGCAAAAGAGCTAAGGGACAATTCCCAGGCTCTGGATTTAAGCCCTAAGACTGGCACAAAAAATTAAAAAAGAGGGGCTGGGAAGTTGGCTCAGTGGTAGAGTGCTTGCCTTGCATGCATTAGGCCCTGGGTTCGATTCCTCAGCACCACATAAGCAGAAAAAAAAAAAAAAGCCAGAAGTGGCGCTGTGGCTCAAGTGGTAGAGCGCTAGCCTTGAGCTGAAGAGCTGAGGGACAGTGCCCAGGCCCACAGTTCAGGCCCCACAACCAGACCAAAAAAAAAAAAATTAAAAAAGATTTAAACCCAGGTATATGACCTGGCATTTCCATCTTGCTTGCTAGTAGTCCACTTAAATGTCACATGAGTTCTGTGACCTTGTAATCCTCCTCCTAGTAGTATTTGAAAGTTGGAAATAAAGATAGGAACCTTTGCAGCAGGGCTAATCAGAAAGTTGTCTCCAAGGCCACACAGTAGCCAAAGGAACATAAATCTAGTCTGAAAGAAAAGTTAAAATCACAGTTGTGTAAGGAGGAAATGAAAGGGAAAATATGGAATAGAAGTTTTAGTGTGCACCCACTTCAGCCTGCTCACTGTGTTGGAGTGAAACTTGAGAGTTACTAAGAATAGCTTCCTATATCCAGGCAGTCAGGTCTAGGGTGTGGGAGAGAACAATCCTGACTCAGATGCTGTGCTCCCTGTCCTGGATACTGAGCAGGACTGACTAGCTCTCCTTGTTCTTCAGAGAGTGAGATTCTTAGCTCCTTTTCACTGGGTAGCTTTTGGAAGTCACAGAATTTGGCACCCCTTGGAAAGAATGTTTTTATTAGATTATGTTATAGTTTAGACTTGTCCAACTTCCAGAAGAGTAGGACCTAGTCTGTTTCCCTTAAAGTAAGTGATTTTTGTTTTTTAGGTTCCATTTTTTGTTGTTGTTATTGTTTGTTTGATTTTTCTAAAGTTCAGCTTTGCTTCTTGACTGGCAAGATGTTTCTTTTCAAATTGAAATACACAGGACATAGTATAAATTAAAGGTGAAGCCATTGTTGCCTTTTGTTGTTGTGACTTGTGACATTTGAGATCTTGGAAGACACATCTTTCAGGTTGCTATGTCCTGCCTGATACTTGTAATGTCAGCATCTTCTCTACCCAGTCTGAGACTGGGCAGAGAACAGTGTGTGGCACAACAACACTACTGTTCTACTTTGACTTATGGAAACTATTCTTTCCACAGATTTTTGCAGTTCAAGTGGCAGCACTTCTTTCCAGCCTATCAAGAGCCATATAACCATCCCAACAGCCCATGTGATGCCTTCTACTTTGGGGACCTCTCCTGCGAAGCCCAATTCTACACCTGCTGCACCCTCTTCTAAACTCCCTTTGTCAGGGTTGGCTGAAAGTGTGGGGATGACAAGAAATGGAGACTTTGGTGCAGTGAAACATTCTCCAGGCCTATCAAGAGATCTCATGTATCTCTGTGGTGCTACTGGAGAAAATGGCATTGAACAATCCTGGTTTCCAGCAGTTGGCCATGAAAGAGAGGAAGAGATGAGGAAGTTTGATATTCCTAACATGGAGTCTACCCTCAATCAGTCAGCTGTGGTCGAATCACTTTATTCAGATCCTCACTATCGAGTCCACTTCCACAACTCAAGATCTGACACAAACAAAGAATTATACAAAGTATTGCCTGAGGCCAAGAAGGCACCAGGCAGCGGAGCAGTATTTGATCGACATGGACCACAGTCTAGCAGCAGTGGGATGCTCCCTTTGGGAATCCAGCCAGCTCCTGGGCTCTCCAAGCCTCTGTCCTCTCCAGTGTGGCAACCAAATCCTGATCCTTGGCATCCTCGAGAACAATCTTGTGAACTCAGTACTTGTCGACAACAGCTGGAATTGATACGTTTACAGATGGAGCAAATGCAGGTAGAGACCCTCATACAGCCTTTGTCTTAAAAGTTGTAATTCTATAAAGAAAACACTTGTGAAGAAGAGATTTGTATACAGGAAATGAAGATTTATGTGCTTGTGGCTATTGAATCTACTGGTAGTTTAACACTGGTTGCCTGAACTATTATCCAGGCACTAGACTAGATAGTGTCACATGCAGAATTTAATTCTTAGCACCTGATTAGGTTAATAAAGTAACTTACCAAGTTCTTAGACTAAAACTTATGGAGTCACAAAGCTGGCAAGGCTAAGGTTTAAAATCATCTTTCAACTTCTATATTCTTTTCACTACACCACTTTTGTTTTCTTTAAGTCCTTGTGCTGCTAAAGACTGGGAAGGAAGGGAGCAGGGCACATTCTCCTTCACTGATTGGTAAGGACATCTTAGCTCTTGATTTGCCCCTGTTGCAAGATAATAAATGATAACTGACCTTAGAAACTAGAGCCTTTCTGAGCAGAGTGTTTAGTTGGCAGAAATCTCCCTGCCTAAGTTCTTTCCAGTCATGCATCAGAGCTAAAATTACTTCATAAGCATTGGCTTTATCAGGCTGAACCAAAGTCAGCCTTGACGCTAGACCTAGCTGTATATTGCTCGGGTGTTTTTAGGTGCGTGTGGGTCAAGATCAAATCCCTCCTTCCTATTTGTTTTCTAGCTTCAGAATGGAGCCATCTGCCACCATCCTACTGCTTTTGCTCCTTTACTGCCCACTTTGGAGCCAGCACAATGGATTAGCATCTTGAATAGCAATGAGCACCTTCTAAAGGAAAAGGAACTCCTCATTGACAAGTAAGGTGGCTAGTGGGACTGCAAGGCCAGACTTCACTAAGGGCACTCAATGAATCTTCCAAAGGGCAGTCCAATAACCCCTCTCCTTGTTCCCCTCTGTCATTTAGGCCCATGCCTTGCTTTTGTGGTAGGGTTAGGTTGATTGTGACTCTTTGCAAGGGTGGGGAATCTTTTTGCTCTCAAGAGTCATTTGGATATTTAAAACATCATTTGTGGGCTGTATACATTATGAATATGGGAAAATGGGTTGAGATCAGCTAACAAGAAGCTTGTCTTCCCATCATGAATCAAGTGATTTGAAGATTTTTATAGAGCCAGCAAGCAAATGTTCTTCCCCACTGAACAAGTGTTGATAAAGATAAGTATTGCTTCTCACTTACTTTTTTCCTTTTTTTTCCCCTCCAGTCCTGAGGCTTGAACTCAGGGCTTGGGCACTGTCCCTGAGCTTTTTTTTTTTTTTTTTGTCGGTCGTGGGGCTTTAACTCTGGGCTTGGGTGCTGTCCCTGCACTCTGCAGCTCAAGGCGAGTGCTCTACCACTTGAGCTACAACACCACTTTCTAGTGGTTTATTAGAGGAAAGAGTCTCATGGATTTTCCTGCCTGGGCTGGCTTTGAACTGCGATCCTCAGATCTCAGCCTCCTGGGTAGCTAGGATTTCAGGCGTGAGCCACTGGCGCCTGGCTCCCTTTTGCTCAGGGCTAGTACTCTACCACTTGAGCCACAGTTCCACTTCCAGCTTTTTCCATTTTTGTGGTACTAAGGAATCAAACTGCAGGTTTCATGCATGCTAGGCAAACACTGTACCACTAAGCTTCATTCCCAGCCCCAACTTCTCACTCTCCTTTGTTTTTGTTGCTGCTCCAGTCCTTGGGCTTGACCTCTGGGGCTGGATGCTATCCTTGAGCTTTTTTGCTCAAGGCTAGCATTTTACCACTTGAGCCACAGCTCCACATCTGGATTTTTTGTGGCTAATTAGAGATGAATCTCATAGACTTTCCTGCCCTGGCTTGGAACTAGGATCTCAGCTTAGAACTAGGATCTCAGCTTTCTGAGTAGCTAGGATTACAGGCATGAGCCACCAATGCCCAGCTTGCTCCTGATTTTTCCTCAGTTGTTTTCTTATTTGTTCTTCCTCCTCCAGCAATACATAAAGTTCAAAATTAAGGTGTTTTTCTTTTATAGACGGGATTGTTACCCATCTGTCTAAGGAAAGGGGCTAATGTTGTGAAGGGGTTAGTGCCGGGACTTCAGTTCTGATTCTCACTGGCTTTTGCAGACAGAGGAAACACATCTCTCAGCTGGAACAGAAAGTACGAGAGAGTGAACTTCAAGTCCACAGTGCCCTTTTAGGCCGCCCTGCCCCCTTTGGAGATGTCTGTTTGCTGAGACTACAGGTAAACATTGGCAGCCAAGACAGCAACCCACTTGTCAAATCCCAGGGTTTCCTTGTCCACTGTTAAATATCCAAGAGACACAAAAGAAATCCAAGTGCCAGTGGCTCACACATGTAATCCTAGCTACTCAGGAGGCTGAGATCTGAGGATCATGGTTCAAAGCTAGCCCTGGCAGGAAAGTCTCTGAGACTTCAGTAAACTACCAGAAAACCAGAAGTGGTGCTGTGGCTCAAGTGGTAGAGCATTAGCCTTGAGCTGAAGAGTTGAGGGAGAGCATCCAGGCCCAGAGTTCAAGCCCCATGGCTGACCAAAAAAAAATCCAGTGAGTCCCTTAGAGAATAAATTCTTGCTAGACACGGGTGGTTTATATCTGTAATCCTAGATGTTCAGGAGGCTGAGATCTGAAGATCATAGCTCAAATCCAGCCAGGCAGGGTCTATGAGACTCTTACCTCCAATTAACCACCAAAAAGTCAGAAGTATAGCTGTGGCTCAACTGGTAGAATGCTAGCCTTAAGCAAATAGTCTTAGGTACAGTGAACAGGCCCTGAATTCAAGCCCCAGAACTGCCCCTCTCCAAAAAAAAAAAAAGTAAATATCTAATTTATAAAACACTCATTGCTGTGTCCTTGTGAGGGGGCTTGAGTGAAGAACCAGGCAAAAGTCCACATGCCTTAGTGTCAGGATATATTTTAAAAGAAAGGTAGATAGTAAGGTCCTAGTATTAGGTGATGTTTTTTGTTTGTTTGTGTGTATGCATGCGCACACCAGCACTGGGGCTTGAACTTAGGTCTTGGTAAGGCTGGTGCTCTACCATTTGAGCCATAGTTTCATTTCCAACTTTCTGTTGGTTACTAGAAGATAAGGGTCTCACAAACTTTCCTGCCCAGGCTGGCTCCATCCCCAGAATTTCTGATTCAGTAGTCTTATACTAAGCTCCCAAAATTGGCATTTTCAAATTCTAGCAAAGAGTGATATTCATGCTATTTGTCCTAGGACCCGTCTTGAGAAGTACTGCTTGAGGATATTACTAGAGAAAGATTTTATTTGATTTTGAAGCATTCTGGGAAATATATAAAGTGAATAGGACCATATGAGTAGGGAACAATTTTATTTATTAAGCATCTTTTTGGCAGGAATTGCAGCGAGAGAACACTTTCTTACGTGCACAATTTGCACAGAAGACAGAAGCCTTGAACAAAGAAAAGATGGAGCTTGAAAAGAAACTGTCTTCTTCAGAAGTTGAAATACAGCTCATCAGGGAGTCTCTTAAAGTGACACTGCAGAAGCATTCAGAGGAGGGGAAGAAACAGGAAGAAAGGGTGAGCTGTGGAGCTGATGGCTCTCTAAACCACAAAGGAGTTGGCAGTCAGCCCTCTCTGCCAACAACCTAGACTCTTTCTGGCCCTGTGTCTGGAACCAGGAGAAGCCAGTTCGGTGAGACCCTACATTGACTTCTCACTCAGGATCTATCTACTAGAATGAGAATTACTTTATCTCCACACAGCTACCAGTCAGGAAAGTTGTATAAGACCTCACTCTCCCAGGTTGGGTTGTGATCTGCTGCCAGCTGACAGGTGGTAAACCAGCTTGGACAGTCATATCAGATGGCAGTGTTGTAAGATGTTTATGAATTTGTTCCATTCAATCTGTTTTCTTCTCATTCTACCTGAAAAGTAAGAGATTCTATGCATACAGCTAGTTAGAATTGTCTTAGGGCGAGATTGGTCATTACTGGGAAAGCTAGTGAAAATCTTTTGGTTCTATTCCTCCAAGTTACAGTTATCTCTAAAAACGTGTTATTGTTGTCCTCCCTCCCCCCCCTCCACTGGTCATGGGTCTTGAACTCTGGGCCTGGGCACTATCCCTGATCTCTTCAGCTCAGGTTAGTGCTCTACCACATTGAGCCACAGTGCCACTTCTGTTTTTTTGGTGGCTAATTGGAGACAAGAGTCTCATGGACTTAAATGCCAGGACTGGCTTTGAACTGAGGTCCTCAGATCTTAGCCTCCTGAGGAGCTAGGAATACAGGCATGGGCTACCAGCACCTGGCATTAGAACACACATCTTCTTAAGGAACTAGTTTAGTAATGTTTATTCCTTACATCCAGATCAACTAAAGCTTCTCAGATCTATTGTGTGTGTGTGTGTGTGCACGCGTGCATGTGTGTGCGCGCCCTGGTCTTGAGCTCAGGGCTTGAGCATTCTACCACTTGAGACACAGCTTTTTGATGGTTAGTTGGAGATAAGAGTCTCATACGCTCTCCTGTCTAGTCTGGCTTTGAACCTTGAGCCTCAGATCTCAGACTTCTAAGTAGTAGCTACAACTACAGACATGAGTCACTGGTGCCTTGCTAGAACTTTTTTTTTTAAAGACAGGGTCTTGCTATATTACCCAGATTGGCTTCAAATTATTGGACTTAGTGGTTTTCCTGCCTCAGCCACTTGTGAAGCTGATAACTACCAGTGTGCATGACTACACTTAATTACTTTTTTTTTTTTTTTTTTGCTGGTACTGGGGCTTAAACCAGGGCCTAGGCGCTGTCCTTGAGCGTCTTTGTACTCAAGGCTAGCATTCTACCACTTGAGCCACAATGCCACTTCTAGCTTTTTCTAAGTAGTTTATTGGAGATACGAGTTTCATGGAGACTTTCCTACCCAGGCTGGCTTCAAACTACAACCCTCAGATCTCAGTCTCCTGAGTAGCTAGAATTACAGGCGTTAGCCACTGGCGCCTGGCTAATCAATTACTTTTAAGAATTTAGATCAAGCTTTAATAGTTCTAGGAGAAGGCAAGCACCTGAAAGATTGAATTCCTAACAATGTCCCAGGTGTTACTGGTATCATTGGCATAGCAAGGAGCTAATATCCTTTAAAAGGAAATTAAGGCCAGGTACCCATGGCTCATGCCTGAAATCCTAGAGACTCAGAAGGCTGACATCTGAGGATTATGATTTGAAGCTGATCTGGGCAGAAAAGTCTGTAAGACTCTTAACCTCCAATTAACTACTAAAAACCTAGAAGTAGGGCTGAAGTGGTGGATCACTAGCCTTGAGCACAAAAACTCAGGACAGTGCCAAGGCCCTGAGTTCAAGCCCTAGAACCAACACCAAGGGGGGAAAAAGCATTGTAATTAACTACCAACTTATTTATAATAAAACTATAATTCTGTGCCCCATCTCATTCCACATAGGTATCCTTCCTCAACTTTTTTCTGTTTTTTGTTTTGTTTTGTCTTTTGTCAGTCATGGGGCTCAAACTCTTGGCCTGGGTGCTATCTCTGAGCTTTTCAGCTCAAGGCTAACAGCTCTAGCACTTGAGCCACAGTACCACTTCTGGTTTCCGGGTGGTTAATTGGAGATAAGAGTCTTATGGACTTTCCTGCCCAGGCTGGCTTTGAACCTGGATCCTCAGATCTCATAAGCCACCAGTACCTGGCACCTCTGTATTTTTTAATGATGTGTCTCCTTATACTTTTTTTTATTGATCTGTGCATGTTGGTACCAAGGTTTGAACTCTATTGTTTAGCTTTCTTGCTCATGGTTGGTGCTCTCCCACTTGAACCACAGCACTAGTCTGGCTTTTTGCTGGGTAGTTGTAAATGGAGTCTCATAGTCTTCTGCTCAGACTGGGTTTTGAACCTTAACTCTCCAAATCTCAGCTTCCTGAATAGCTAGGATTACAGGCATTGGACACTGGCCGCCTGACTTTTTGCATTCTTATGTGTGTGTCTGTGTGTCTATGTGTCTCTGTCCATGTCTGTCTGTTGGTCCTGGGGCTTGAACTTAGAGCCTAGGCACTGTCCCTGAGCTTTTGTACTCAAAGCTAGCACTCTACTATACTCAAGCCACAGTCCCACATCTGGCTTTTGTATAGTTACTTAGAGATAAGAATCTCAGACTTTTCTGCCCATACTAGGTTCAAACTGAGACTCTCATATTTCAGCCTCCTGAGTAGATGGGATTATAAGGTGTGAGCCATGGGTACCTGGCTTCCCTCCTTCCCTCCCCCTCCCCCTCCCTCCCCTCCCCGCAGTACTGGTGCTTGAACTTAGGGCTTGGCACTGTCCCTGAGTTTCTTTTTGCTCAAGGCTAGCATTCGACCACTTCAGCCATAGCACCACTTCCTGCTTTTTCTGTTTATTTGGTACTAAGGAATCGAACCCAGGGATTCATGCATGCTAGGCAAGCAGTCTACCACTAGGCCACATTCCTAGCCTGGTTTTCTTATACTTAATAAATTATAGACATCCTTTGGTTTCATAGGTGTTCTTTGTGACGTCTGTATTTGCTTATACATATATACATTTATTCTTGTTTTGGTGTCCTTCATTTTTAGGCTTGGCAAACCTTGAATGAATGGCACTTATATTTTAAGGATGAAGCATTGAAAAGCTGGATGAAAGGCTGGGAAGGTGGCTCAGTGGTAAAGTGCTTGCCTTGTATGCATAAGGCCCTAGGTTTGATTCCTCAGTACCACATAAGCAGAAAAGGCTAGAAGTGGCGCTGTGCCTCAAAAGGTAGAGTGCTAGCCTTGAGTTGAATTGCTGAGGGACAGTGTGCAATTCTAGAGTTCAAGCCCCACGACAGACAAAAGAAAAAAAGTAAAGCTGGATGAGCCAGGCATGGTGGCTCATACCTGTAATCCAAACTACTCGGGAGGTGGTGCAATCAAAGCCATTCTGAGAGAAAAGTTACATCTGCCAGCATCTGTTAGTCTAGCTATTTAGAAGTCAGAGACCAGGGGAATTGTGGTCTGAAGCCAGCCCCAGGCAAAATGTGTTAAGACTATCTAAAAAAAAAAATGCTTAAAAGCTTTACGGGGTGGGAGTATAGCTCAAGTAGTAAGAGTGCTTACCTACTCAGAATATGCAGAACCCTAAGTTAAAAGCCCTGAATTACAAAAAAGAAAACAAAAAACAACAAAAGAAACAACTGGATGAAAGCTCTAGGTTCACTGGGACTTGCCTGGTGGACTTTACTACAAGCTCATTAGACATAGACTGCTCTTTTCATGTGGGAACTCTCAATTGTCAGTTTCTGGATATCTTATTTCAGTCTCTCTAGAAGAGTATGCATCTTCCTGCTTAGTGGGGAGGCTGCAAACAGAAAGCTATTTTTTTTTTTCCCCTAGGGCTGAGAACCGAACCCAGGGCCTTGTGCGCGCCAGGCGGGTGCCCTTCCGCTGGGCTAAACCCCCAGCCCCTATTTTTTTTTTAACCAGTCCCGGGGCTTGAACTCACAGCCAGGGAACTGTCCCTGAGCTCCTTTTTTCTTTTCTTTTTTTTTTTTTTGGCCAGTCCCAGGGCTTGAACTCAGGGCCTGGGCACTACCCCTGAGCTTCTTTTGCTCAAGGCTAGCACTTGAGCCACAGCGCCACTTCTGGGGGTACTGAGGAATTGAACCGGCTTCACGCATGCTAGGCATGTATTTCACCACTAAGCCACATTCCCACATCTTTCTGAGCTTCTTTGTATTTTGTTGTTGATTTATTCTTTTTTTTGGGGGGGGGTCTGGTCATAGGGTCTGAACTCTGGGCCTGGGTGCTGTCCCTCAGCTCTTCAGCTCAAGGCTAGC